GGTAGAGAGTTTATGCCTGTTCCCTCTAAATAAATGTTAAGACCCGGGGTTCCATCCTAAAAGGTCAACCTGATAGGAGGAGTAGCCCAAAGCCTTATATAGTGTGTAATTGTTTTTATAGCTTTCCGGTGTGGGACAAATGCTTCAACACGCCCCCTCAGCCCGAACCGGGCTGGACAATATTGGGGTGTATAAACGGGCCAAACAAACCCTTAATAAGCTACCCTTAATCATGGGTGCTAAACAAGCCGTCAAACCACAACCGGAATTGGCTCTGATACCATGTTAAGACCCGGGGTTCCATCCTAAAAGGTCAACCTGATAGGAGGAGTAGCCCAAAGCCTTATATAGTGTGTAATTGTTTTTATAGCTTTCCGGTGTGGGACAAATGCTTCAACAATAAACTTTTCACTTTCTTTTAATTGATGTTCCTAAATATATAATGTCCCCTTTCTCTATTTGACACATGAATTTATATCAATTCACTCTACTAAACCTTAAATAATAACAACAACATGGCATGAGCATTGCGATTTCAGGCACATCTTACTTTATCTTTTTGGGGTGAATGTGTTTTAACTGCCGCTCATCTTATTAATCGCACCCCTTCCTCTATGCTTAAATTTATGACTCCTTATGAAGCATAGAGAATTACTCCTAAATACGGAGTATATCTTCTTCATTGCTCCTAATTTGATACTGCTCCCTCTAAATAAACTTTTCACTTTCTTCTAATTGATGTTCCTAAATATGTAATGTCCCCTTTCTCTATTCGACACATGAATTTATATCAATTCACTCTATTAAACCCTAAATAACAACAACAACATAGTAAAAATAGTTTCAAAGAGGAGGCGAAACTTTAGTGGAGCACTGCTTTTCTGTAAAATTCACCCCTGCCTAAAAGTTGTATTTGAGGAAGTTATAGAAAATAATTTAGAGCCCATTTGATAACACTGAAATCGGCTGTATCATCTGATTATATTGAAATTTATGAAATTCTGGCTGAAGTGACTGTATTAGCCGATTCGGGTGATTTATGAAAAATTCGATTTAAAATATATTTTACTATTAAAATAATTAAAAATAACATTATATGAAAATAGTTAAAATGGTCATCTACAATAACTTCAGCCAATACAACCACAAAAGTAACAACAGCCTTACTTCTTCTTATTATTACATAATTCAGCGCGCGAAATCAAAAACTAAGTGTCTAGTTAAAAATTGGTCGATAAGCCTGATAAGTCGAAAATGACTTTTAATATGTGTGCAATTAAAGTGTAATTTTTAATGAGTAAAGAGTCAGTTTGGTCCTCGAAGTTGCAAAAAAGGTGTCAAGTAAGTCCTTATATAGAAGATTCTGTCCGGACGTGCCATTTGAGGTGGCTCCCGGTAGAATTTTTTGATGAAATTTTTTGAGCATCTTATTCATTAAGTCTAGTTTACTCATACCAAATTTCTGCTAAAAATTCAATCGGGGAGACATTCAAATGAATTCTTGAAGATAACTGCGCTTTTAATGACACAGTTATCTTCAAGAATTCATTTGAATGTCTTCCCGATTGAATTTTTATCTGAAATTTGGTATAAGTAAACTAGACTTATTACATAAGTTGCTCAAAAAATTTAATCAAAAAATTCCATCGGGAGCCACCTCAAATGGCACGTCCGGGCAGAATTTCCTATATAAGGACTTATTTGACCCCTTTTTTGCAACTTCGAGGACCAAACTGACCCTTATCCCAATTTTTAATTATATGGCTTATGGCCCCATGCACTTCCTTTCCTGATTATGCGAACACAGCCATGCAAACAAATGCATATTATTTCTCGATCTTAGCTTTATTCTCAATAAAGTATGATTGTGCTGTATATTGCACTATAATCATTCAACTTTTTTAATCAAGACTTCCGCCATCTTTTCCATACCATCAAAAGCCACCTTGACTGCCGGCTAGCCGGCCGTGAAGTGCAATGAAATGAACAAAACCGACATCCAGTCCAGTAAATTATCTGGCAAATTAATTTAAACCCATAAATATATACGAAGAATATGTCGATCAATCCGATCATATCGTTAATAATACCCTACAAGTTGAGAGAGCATATATTAATTGGGAATTCGGATAAATGCATGCATGCAGGGGCGGAGCTAGGGGGTGCCCAGGCTAGGCCCTGGCCCACCCCAAATTTGAAAAATGTCAATATTTTTAGTGTAAAAAATTTCGTGTAAATTTTTTTCCAATAATATTCTTTGTACCTGCCCAGTCTAGCCCAGTGTCCTGGCTACGCCCCTGCATGCATGCATGGGGGTTTCAAGAATATTATACTAGTCGACTGCTTCATGGTGAGATACTGAGATTATTATTCTATGTAGAACCGAATTGAAGATACGTACATTCTTTAAATATGATTGTTTTTCATTAGTCTCAAAATTTTACTCACCAATTTGATTAAACTAACGAAGAAATCACTACAAAAAAACACGGAGTTGAGAGATTTTTGGGAGAGAGCCAAAATTCACACTGAATTTGGTAGGGATATGTCAAATGTGTGCATAAAACCTTTGTTGGCACGAGCTACTTGACACGAAATCATATGTCGATCCGTGTTGAATCCCTGTCAATCCTGTAATTTTTTGTAGTGAATGTTGAACACATGTTAAAGGTAGTGCTACTTGTACACATTATTTGTACACATTTGTTGTAAACACTGCTCAGTTGCGTGTGTACACAAAAGCTTCTGAATGAGCTGCTTATGTACAAATAATATGTACAAATGACATTTTCCAAAAATCTAATTGACTCCAATACTTTTAATGTCAAAAATTCCACAAACTAATATCTTGAGTGATTTTTTCCTCGAGGCACCACTTCCTCTATTCTTCAAATTTATTTTCAAGTGGATATATAATAGAGTATATGTTAATGGAAAATGTCATTTTAATTATCGTAACTATCAGTGAGCTTATATTAATTCGGAGTATGAAATACTTGTAATTCTTAAATAACCCAAGATTTATAGATAGTCTTCTCAAATTGGTCTTGACTCTTGAGTAACCTACCACAAGCCAAATCAGTAAATAGAAGAAAATTTAGAGCCCTTTTGGTAAACCTGTTTCTCGGCTTATCAGTCTAGCTTATCATCCAATTTTTACCACAAATACGTAACTTTTGATTTCACGCGCTGAATAGTGTAATAATCAAAATAAGCAGGGTTGAAGTTACTTTTCTGGCTGCATTGGCTAAAGTTTTTCTAGAGGACTATTTTAGTTATTTTTCATATATATTTTTCTTTATTTTATTAATGAAAAGTATTTTAAATATTTTTTTTCATAAATCGTCAGAATCAGCCAATACAGTCATTTCAACAAGAACTTCATAAGTTTCAGCAGAATGACCTGATTCAGTCAATTTCAGTGTTACCAAACGAGTTCTTAAACAAAAATCGTGAACTACTTAGGGCATCCCCATCCATAGATTATTTTTGGGATCATTTTGATGATGTGGATGATTTTTTTTGGGATCATGGATGGGGAGTTGAGATTATTTTATGATATTATTTGGTAAAGCTGATGACTAACTTTGTAGAGATTTTGAAATTGAGTGCATGTCTCATAAAAAATCTAGGTAAATTAAGATCATGTATGAGGAGAAATTGATAGGTTTGGAGATTATTTGAGATAATCTTATGTGGAAATGATATGGCAATAAGAAGCCATAAAAAATCGTAAACTTGAGTACCATGAATGGAGATGGTGTTAGAAAATTCCTTGGGAACCCACACTACCTAACTAAACGCTTCAAGAATCCAATCCTCTCAAAATCCCCACTTCTTGCAAGCATGTACCATCTTTTCCCAAAACAAATGAACGGTAACCATAAATATTCTTGTTGATGGATCAAACCTCATTCCCTTGATTTCCTCTAGAAATTTACTTTATAAGCCTATCCACATGCATGATGAACAGCCCAGAATAATGCCCAATTCCCGAATCACACGCTAGAGAATGTCCTGAGGATCGATTAGATAGCAGGACTTCATCGCATTTGGATGTAAAACCACGGCTTTCTCAAAATGAATTTTGAAGTAATTGATGAATATATGACTAAACATAATATTAAAAAAAAGGTGAACAAAATGTGATTAATTGTACTTTGATGACTTAAACGATAATTTATATAGTCAATATTATATTCAATTTTATGTTGCAGTCACCGAAATAGTGTATACACTTATAATAATTTTAGTCATTACTCTGTATATTATTGTTCATAATTGTATTTGGGTAAGATTTAAGGGAACTCACAGTATTTAAATCTCACTAATACTCCTTATGTACCTATTTTTATTCTTATTTTGAACCGTTATAATCATTTTGTATTTAAATTATGTAATTGTCATATGTTTGATAGAGTATAGTTGTATAGTGAGAGGAAAGATAGAAAGAGTAAGATCTGGTATTAATGTTTTCAACTCCTACACCTATGACCTACCTCAAAGGATTATTTATAGATCAAATATGGGTTAGGCTCCTAGGTTTGACTCTGGGATGCATAATTACAATAATAGATCACTAAGTGGCTGCTACATGAAGTATGTTATTCTAATAAGTATACAATGTAAATGCTATCTACTATATGTTCCTGGCTGAGGTGTACGTCTTTGCCTTGATAAAAACTGTGAGATTTCGTATCTTCATTTTACCGTTTCTAGGCCTCGTCTAGTCAAGGGGGCGCAACCGAGAATTGTAGTCCAATAGCCGAAAGAAGATTAGTGTATCACTGTATCAATAAGTATGTGGGCCGTGAATCCGGGCACATATACTGTATCAATGCTGATTAATCGCGAGAAAACAATTTTTCTTTTAATATTATTGTAAAACTTTCTTTAACCGAATAAATACATAAATAACCTTGAGCAAGCATCTAGTGCTTTCACATCACAAATTAACAAATAAATAAATACACAAATCCACCCATATATATACCCCTTCCAAACACTCAAACTTTCAGAGGCCTTGCTTGGGACCATCCCTCTCTCTTGGCTCCTTTAATCTGTTCCTTTCAACAGATAAAAGGAAAAAGAAAAAACAACTACAATAACAATGGTGAAATTTTCTAAGCAATTTGAAGCTCAGCTTGTTCCTGAATGGAAGGAAGCTTTTGTTGACTACTACCAACTCAAGAAAGACCTCAAGAAGTTGCATCTTCTAAACACCAGCAATAAGAATGAAGAACTGATCTCTCCAAAAAGTCTGTTCTCTTCGCTCAAGAAATACATCATCTTCCGGTCTCATCATCATGAACGTGAATCCATTCAAGTATTCTCATTTTCCTAATGTCTTTCTTTGTTTCAAATTCTTCCTTTCATGTTTAAGTTTGATTAACTTTCTTATTTCACCAGCTTTAATTTAATTTAAAAAAAAATTAAAAAAGCGCTACCTCCTTGCTTAAATAAATACAATAGTCCACTTTTCACGTTTGCCGATGCACAACTTTGACCATTAGTATATTTAATCCTCAATGAAACAAGTTTAACATTATTTTTTAAAATAATTTATCAATAGATTTAATACATAAAATGCAGTCAATGTAGAACATACGAATAGTGTGAAATTCGACATGTTGCATTTATTTAAGTACGGATGTAGTATATAAATATCAACCAGTACAAAACTTTAGTCATTGAGGTTCTTTATGACTAAGATTTGGAATTTCATCATGGAATATATAGTACTCTATTCAAAGAAGTAGTCTAAAAAATTTGTTAAAGACTGTAGGGTGACTTCACATGTGTTGTAAGGCGTTAGCTCATACAGCAAATATGTGTATTTTTTAGTCTTAGTTGGTTCACGTATATATTTGGTATTTTAGTGAACTAATATACACTGACATCGTATTAACATTTGGCCTTTCATTGTAAAATGTCAAAGAAAGTAGTTAAAAATTTGTTCATTATCAATGTGAAAGAAGAAATAGGTAAAAATCTATATTTAAAAATACATATAATACTTGGTAGTTACTCATTTATAACTCTAAGGAATTTATATATTTTGAGAATTCGTACACACTCTATTACTCTCTCCGTCTCTATCTGAAATTCTCAATTTGACTCGCATTCATTTTAAGCAAACGACATTGTTTGACACTGTTTTGACACTATTTAGCACTGTTTGACACTATTTGGTATTGTTTTGCATGATTTTGTTTACCAAATAAAAAAAGAGGCTTTATTACGATACATTCAAAAAAGGAAAATTGAAAATTTATTTAGGAACAGAAGAAGTTCATTATAATAACTTCTTTATTGTTTCTTTTTGTATTTTAAAAAAAAAATAAGGTGCATCAGAAATTTTCATCAATGGCAAAGCAAGAAGATTTGTATCAGACAGAGTTGATGGATCAATTTGCTGATAACGAAGCTGCGAAGGAGTTCTTCGGGCGATTGGATCTCCAGGTGAATAAGGTGAACCAGTTTTACAGAACAAAAGAAAAGGAGTTCATGGAGAGAGGCCAATCGATGAAGAAACAAATGGAGATTCTGGTTGAGCTCAAGGCTGCTCTCCGGCAGCAACTCCGGGAGAAGGGTTCGTCCCGGGGATCTCGGGAGGATACCTCCATTTCCGGCTCCATTTCTTGCGGTACAAGACCTACTCTGTTCTTGCTCTGTTTTTCTCTGTTTTGTGATCAACAACATTTAAAAAACATTTCAAATAAACAACAAAATTGTGTTGGGAAAGACTCTTGTTTTACTTCCTGGTATTCACTCTGTTTTTATTTAAGTTTTCGCTATCTTTTAGAAATGTTCGAAAATTAAATTATCTATACTTGTTTTGGTAATATTTGAATGATAAATACGTGTTTACCTTATTAAAAATATATGGTGTAATTTATTAATTTTCTCTTTCATACTTTTGTGAATGACATACTACGTACTTTGTTTTCTCATCACTTTCACTATAACCACCACACCTGTAGGCTCCCTCCGTGAATTTGTCCCACATACTCTATCCTAGGGGTGGGCGAATCGGTTTACGGTTCGGTTTTTATCGGTTTCGGTTCGGTTTCGGTTTATTCGGTTTGAGGAAAATAGTACCAAACTCAAACCAAAAGAATTTCGGTTTGGTTTCGGTTCGGTTTGGGAAAAATTCGGTTCGGTTCGGTTTGGTGTTCGGTTTGATGTTCGGTTTATAAACTTGAAAATGATTATGTCTTGTTTCATATGTTACAATCCACTTTGAGTAATTTTGAATGTTTTGTTTTCATTGAAATTCCAACTAAATGAAATACTAGAACCAGCCTTCACCAAACCAATTGAACAACCTGCTTTCACCTGCTTAAACAACCTACCAATTGAAATTCCAACTAAATGAAATACTAGAACCTAGCTTTAACAACCTGCCTTCACCTGCTAAACCAATTGAAACAAACTAAACCAAAGACTCACACAGAAATAGAAATAGAAATATAAATACAATTTGCTATTGATATCGCCAACCATAATAAATACAAATATGTCGTATTAGCTAACTTTGTCATAATGAATGTTTGAAATGTGTAAAAGTTAAAATAATACGAGTATATGCTTAAATATGCATTTTCATGTCTAATTTTTTTTTATTTATATCTTAAAATGAAGAGTGAAGATAAATACAAAGTGTGTGTGTGTGTTGTTCGGTTCGGTTCGGTTTTGTTCGGTTTTTATCGGTTTCGGTTCGGTTCGGTTCGGTTAAATACGGTTTGAAAGAAATAGTACCAAACTAAAACCAAATTGCATACGGTTCGGTTTCGGTTCGGTTTAGTTCGGTTTGGTACGGTTCGGTTCGGTTAAACCAAACCGTTATGCCCACCCCTACTGTCTATCCTATTGAATTATCTTAGTCAAAGATGCTTAAGTTTACTAATGCAATAGTAATACTCCCGCTGTTTCATTTTCTTTGACATAGTTTGACATGTCAACATTTAAGGAATTTTTTTTTACTTAGAGGTAAATTTTACTGTGTGAACACTGTTTGGCACTGTTTGAACACTGTTTGGCACTGTTTAGACATTGTTTGACACTGTTTTGCACTGTTTGGTACTGTATTGTTTACCAAATGGGAAGTGTGTCATTCATGTTGAAACGTCCAAAAAAGGAAAGTGTGTCAAAAAAACTGAAACAGAGGGAGTATTTTTTTAGCATGAATTAATTTAAAATATGAAAATGTTTTATGGAATGGAGGGAGTACCACATACTCTCTTCGTCCCAAATTGTTTTGCAAAGTCAACATTTTATGGCCAACCAATAATAAAAGTCAATCTTCTTTATTGATAATTAATTAAAATTTACATATTCAGAAACCACATTGAACTCTTCAAAGTTGCAAACTCTGAATTAAAATCTAATTAAAAATTGACACCCTAATTAAGCAAATAAAATGAAATTGTTTGACTAAGAAAAGTCAAATTTGCAAATCAATTTGGGACGAATGTAGTATCTTTTAAAATGCATTGAAATATTTCAAAAATACATTATTAAATAAAATTTGAGTCCCTTTAGAATATGTTTTCAAGTTGCAGTAACCAACACAAGTTCTTAAATAGTGAAACTTTAGTCCTTTTAGCATAAAGTTAAAGTTTTAGTTTCTCGTATAAATTATATTCTTGAAATCCTTACAAACTTCAATAATGTGACATGACATTAAATCCAAAAACATCTTATAATGGTCTTTCAATGTGTCAAATATTTATACTTTATGGGTAGTGCTCACTTATGTGTCACATACAAGGTTATTTTCGTGAATATTACTCCCTCTGTCCCGCTAAAATTGTTTCATTTTACCTTTTCGGTTCATCCCATTAAGTTGACTCATACCAAATTTGATAAAGGTTATGTGGCTCTAAATCATTCTTATTTTATTCTTATTTTATCAATTCAATATCAATAATATAAATCACTTTTTAGTGATTTGCGTTTCACTCCCTCTTATCTCATTGTCAGTGGGACAAATGGATTACTAAATTAAATTCAAAAGACAAAAATATGATTTCTTTTTAAAAAAATCCAAAAAAGAAATTATTCGGTGAGTCAGTGACTCGTCATCTACCAGTGACTTGTCACTCAGAAATATACTATAGTGACTCTTGTCCAGTTACTTCTATACAGTGACTAGTCATATTATTGTTCTAAAGATAACTAGTCATATTTTTGTCCGAAAAACTCTGTTATTAGCAATATATATATATATGTGTGTGTGTGTGTGTGTGTGTGTGTGTGTGTGTCATTAAGAATGTTCAGGTCCGAACGTTTGGACGGGAGCCTCCGTCCGAACACCGCCGTTTGGGGCGGTTCCCGGTGGAATTTTTTGATGAAATGTTTTGAGCATGTTCCTCATCAAGTCTAGTTTGTGCATACCAAATTTCAACTCAAAATTCGATCGGGAAGGCATTCAAATCATTTTTTGAAGTTGACTGCGTTTTTATATGTATATTTTGACGCAGTCAACTTCAAAAACTGATTTGAATGCCTTCCCGATCGAATTTTGACCTGAAATTTGGTATGGACAAACTAGACTTGATGAGGAACATGCTCAAGAAAATTCATCAAAAAATTTCACCGGGAAGGGCCCCAAACGTCCATGTTCGGAAGGTGTTCGGACCAGGAATGTTCGAACCTGAACATTCCTCTATATGTCATTGTTCACATATAAATGTACAAGTAAAAACTTGTGCTTTCTGCTTTGTTTACAGATGACATATAAAAACTTGTCATTGATTGTCGCTGTCATTATAGTAAAAACTTGTGCTTTCTGCTTTGTTTTCAGATGACGAATCCAACAGGAGTAGAAGAGAGGAAGATCATGCCCAAGGAGATACAGATGAATCCGAGGAAGTGGGGAGGTCAATGGCAATGAAGATCATAGAAGATAAAAAGCTAAGATCGTCCCTATCAGACCATTTCATCAACTGTCAAGGCAAAAGCTTAAAAGTCCACATCCCATTGACTAATCCCAGCCGTACATTTTCTGCAATTTCATATCTGCTGCAAGATGATCATCTGGTTAACAAGAAAGGGTGCAGATTGCACATTAACAAGACCAAGCTTCGTCACGCCGAGAAGATGATCAAAGGCGCCTTCATTGAGCTCTACAAAGGACTGGGATTTCTTAAGACATATAGGTAATCACTTTGATTAGACATCTTTAGTTTTTCAAGTGAATGAATTACAACTGTGATAAATAACTTTTTTAAAACAAAATGCCTTCTAATATGAAAATAACAAAAATAAAGTTCTTTAAGTTGGTCACATAAAAATACATAATGTATGCATTTACAAATATTGGAAGAAGTGTTCTACCCTCTTTGATCTATTGAAAACTTAACCTCTTTTTTCCTTCGGGTCACATTTGAGAGTTGAGAGTTGAGACACATGGAATAAGATCCTAAGTCTTAAAAATGATACTCAAATGATCTCCATCGAGATTATGTTAAGCTTCAACAAGAGAGCACACCAAATTCAAGATAAGTCGAACAGGACTTTTTTATCTTGGAACCCCAAAGTTTAATATTTATTTACTAGTGTGCCCTTTCATCATTTTACAATATATATATATATATATATATATATATATATATATATATATATATTTGTTGTGACCATAGCCAGCATGATAATGCCCAATGGACCGGTCAAAATAAATTTTATTTCAGATTAATTTTCACATATATAATCAAAGCTTTGCAAAACTTTTGGATGGAGCCTAGTATGGTTTTACCAAATTTCCCTAAATCTTACAGACTGCAAAAACAACTGTTGCTGTGACTAAAACTATTAAAAGAAATATACAGAGTATGAGGGAGCAAAAGCATATTTTTTAAAAAGGACTAAGAACAAAAATTGGGACCATATTATTGGGACTAGAAAGGTGCGGAATATTTAAAGGCAATGATGTACATAAAGTGTTACTAATTTCACAAACCCCAACTCCAAATAGGTTAAATGTATTTTATTGAACTTGTAATATAATAATAGAAATTTACAACCCCTTGTAAGTGAAAGTGATGAAATTTTTATGGTGGCTGATATCTTTGCAGGAACTTAAACATGCTTGCTTTTGTAAAGATTTTGAAGAAGTTTGACAAGGTAAGTGGCAAAGGGTAAACTTTTTCCAATATAAGAAAGCAATTGTTATAATTTTCCATGGGAACTTAACTACTGTACTAGATCATCAACTTTTAACTCTTCTGCTCTTCTTCATTCAGGTTACTAACAAAGAAGTTCTCCCCATTTATTTAAGAGTGGTTGAGAGCTCCTACTTCAACAGCTCAGACAAGGTTTATTATCAAAAACTTTTTTAAAACAGAATGAGTATGAGTGTATGAGTACTGCACAATTTTTTTTGAAATCCAATACTATGAGCAATCCAAACAGTGACCTCGGGTGTAGTTCAAGACATGAGTCAAGGGCGGGATGGAACAACCTTAGTGAGATTTTCCTGTAAAGTATTCCCTTCATCCTTCAAATTTTTATCAATTTTTGCTTAAAGAAGAAGCTAGGATTTTCTGGTTTATATTATTTGACTTTATTCTTAATAAATTTCAATTGGATAGTTTGTATTTTCATAAGTTTCATTTCAGTTAATCTTGAACAGTTTTCTACTGAGTACAGATGAAGTGAAAATATAGTGATTAATGATGGACACATAAATTAAAGTAGCATGACATTTTGTGTGCATGGTGTTTGTGGAATTCACATACCAAATGGATGTCCACATCATGATAATCATATTCAGATTACTCCATCCCATATTTGTAGCACTTTTTGGGGTGTACGACAATAACATATTTAGGTAGGAAATATATTAATTAAGATACAAGGTTCAACATTTTATACATTGACTTAATATTTTATACTTCGTGAACGTGATTATATTTTCAACTCCTCTCGATCTCATACTTCCTCTGGATCGTGCAGTACTGCCGTTAATACTACGTATTTTTTTTTATTATCGGCTCATGTCTCATTATCGCCAACTATTTAGTAACCATGTATGTCTATGTCTTCATATATAAGAGGGCCACACAAGATTTAATATGTAGCAAGAGTGTGGGAGAATATCTTTAAGGAATTGTCTAAGGTTTACATTTATATAACATATATATGAGTCCTCTATTAAATGAAAACAAAAACATGCTTATTTCATTTTTCCTTTTGGTTTCAACAGGTTTTAAAATTGGCTGATGAGGTTGAGGAGATTTTTATCAAACACTTTGCTGAAGATGACAAAAGAAAGGCTATGAAATACCTCAAGCCTACCCTAAAAAAGGACTCTCATGCTGTCACCTTCTTCATTGGTGAGGGCCATCAATAAAATTACAAAAAAAAACTCTAATCATTTTTATGGGATAACGGTTAGTTTTTTTTGGCTCACTCAATTTTAATTAGGTTTTGAACGCATTTGCTAAATAAGTGTTTCTATATTTCCCTAAAGAAAAAACAAAAAGGGGACCCTATAAGCCCATTAATGAAAGTAGAACTTGAATCAGCAACTAAAAAGGTGAGCTTATAGGGTCAGTTTAATGGAGGTGGATACTAAAAAGGAAAAAGAAAGGTGTAGGATGAGGCCACTAAAAATCATCAAGTAAGTTGTCACTGACCATAAACAAATAAACCTACTAAAATCTTTCCTTAATAAAGTTAACAAAAGGGAGCCATTTTCAGGCTCTTGTAGGGCTTGGCATTTGATGTGTACCATTATATAAAAGACAGTGTTGAATGATGATTAAAAGTGTTGTCATATAATTGACGTCATGACCTGTAATTGGGTGGCCCCTAACCATTAAAAGTGTTGAATGATACTCCCTCCGTATCACATATATCTTCCCACTTCCAAAGTGGGTGAGATTAAGAATAGTGATATGAGGTATGAATTATTGAGGGTATGATGGGAAGATGGTGAAATAATGTGATGGAATGAATGATAAATCCAAAAAAATAGGTATAGTAGTGTATTATTGTTTAAATTATTGAGGGTATGATGAGAAGATTTAGAAATGGGAAGATATAAATGTTACGTCCAAAAAAGGAAAGTGGAAAGATATGAATGTTACGGAGGGAGTAATTAAAAGTGTTGTCATTTTCGATTACAAAAAGTCACATCATACTTTTTTAACATAGAACATACTTCGTACTTCGTACTAATGGAATAAGAATGTAATAAATTGAGGTTTATGCGGACAGAGAAAAAAATGTACTCCCTCCGTCCCAAAATTATCTTCATAGTTACTATTCACATGGTTAACTCAAATTACTCTTAATTTTTTACTTTATATATCAAATTTTTATCAAACTTAAATTTTCTTGATCAGGCTTTGTAGCGGTTTTAATGTAGTTTCTGAATATGTAAATTTTATTTACTAAAAATAATCCGAGTGTGAACAGGGATCGAGTTGCTTTATCGTCAGTCAAGCATCGTAAACCGAACTATGAAGATAAATATGGGATGGAGGTAGTAGCACTTATTAGAAACTTCTCTGTTCTAAAAGAAAAAGTAACAAAGTTTGTTTTTGTGAGGAAAACAAATCATAGTTTGACGGAGAGAGTATGAATGCATTTATTTTTTAATAAAAGCCTCTTTTGTAACTAAGTTTATATTATTGGGCATTCAAGTACAAACACACAAATGAAATGTACTACGTAGTAGATCAATTATTCAAGCGATACATTATCTTTGGACTGTCTAATAGAGCCTGCAAAGAGAGTGGGCTACAGCACTGAGCATTTTAATTTAGAAGACCTCAAATTTTAAAAACTCACTTAGTATACTAAAGCTCTTTTCTGTAAAACAGAAACAAGAAAAAAACATTTTAGTGTTTTTTTATAAACGATAGTACATGGCTCTTAGTACATATTTTTTCAGTTTAAGATATCTATAGTACATGGAATGTATCTTTAATATTGAAAAAACCTGCCATGGTTCTTAGTACATATTTTTTCAGTTTAAGATATCCTTGCATTTCACTCTACAATATATACCAGCCAGTGGCGGAACCAGGGGTGGTCGAGTCGGTGCCGCCACCCCCCGTTCGCCAGCGGCGGTAGTGTGTGTATATATATATGTATGTATGTATGTATGTATGTAGCTCAGCCCCTGCTAAGAAAGAATATATATTACCGCCCCGGTTATAAATTTTAACAATAGGCATGCTGGCACACTTGGAAGTTTCTTCTGTGTAGAAGATTTGCCCTCTCTGTAGTGTCCTGGGTTCAAATCCCCAAGGCTGCTGCATTTTAGTTTGCTTCCATTGCCTTCACTTTTCTTAGTTTTGAATTTTTGACTCCGCCGGTCATATTTAGACATATGCCCCATGCCTACTAATTTTGTTCAATTGAATCACTATTTGACATGATGTTGCTTAAACCATACGCTTTAAATTTTTATAGAATTTGTTTTGCATTCATATTTTTTTATACAAATTACTCCATTTGCCAAAAAAAAAACAGATTACACTATTCGGAAAATTGTTTTAAATAAGACTAAAAATGCTTGTCTATTCCTAAATAGTATTTTAATTCCCTGATTGTATTATTTATAAAAAGTTAACATTTAAAAATTTAAAGTGGGAACAATTTAATTATATTTTATAAAAAATAAAGTTTTAATGTATTTGTGAATAAAATATAGTTAAAGTAGAACACGTGAATTGCGTAAAAATTTTTATGTTTTAACTATTTAAGAACGGAGGCAGTATTTACTAGTGCACCAGAATGAATAAAAAGTGTACTCATTCACATTTTCACCGGAACAACCCTTTTTAATGGAGTCGCACTCTATATAACTAATGATTAATTTTTACTCGTTTTTCTTTTATCCCTATAAAAAATTATTTTGTAATTATTTTTTTACTGTGTATATATAAGAGCACCCCTTCGAATTTATTTCTGGTTCCGCCACTGATACCAGTAGCTACTTATCAACATTTTAATTTCCAATAATTTGATAAGACCATTGGTCTTGTTTCATCTATACCTCAGGTTTATTCACAGGATGTTTTGTAGCTCTGTTAGTGGGATATCTAATCATGGCTCATATTACTGGGATGTACAGACAGGCTCAATCAAATACATTCTACATGGAAACCGTGTATCCTGTTCTAAGGCAAGAACCCTTTTAATCCTCAAAAGTTTAATTTCCAAATTTTTTGTGTCAAAATGTACCCACTAAGCAGAAAAATATAAACTTTCTGCAGCATCTTCAGCCTACTGTTCTTGCACTTGTTTATGTATGGATGCAACATTTTCATGTGGAGGAAGACTAGGATTAACTACTCCTTCATATTAGAGTTAGCTCCCAAGAAAGAACTGAAGTATAGGGATGTGTTCTTGATCTGTACAACTTCAATGACTGTTGTGGTTGGTGTCCTCTTTCTCCATCTTGCTCTTGTATCAAAAGGGTATGCCTTTACCCAAGTTCAGGCCATCCCTGGCCTTCTTTTATTGGTAATTAATTTTCTAAATAACTTTTCTTGCATCTCTTTGACAAAATTCAGTAGTTTTCTAAGTAATTGATGAAAAGGTTTGCTTTAATTTAATTACCTCTTACTGTAGAGTTTTCTACTGCTACTGGTATGTCCTTTCAACATTGTCTACAAAACAAGCCGCTTTCGGTTTCTGCGTGTGATGAGGAACATCATTTTGTCACCTATGTATAAGGTTGTCATGCTAGACTTCTTCATGGCTGATCAACTTTGCAGCCAGGTAAGAAGGCATTGTTTTAATAATCAGCCAAGGCAGCCCATTAGGGGTCCATGAAACACTAGGCACCTGTATAATAATATTATTAGAGCCAACAACTCAATCAAGGTGGGACAGACTTCATCTAAAGTAATTCATTCATATAATTTTTGCAATTAAAAGGACAGTTAGGCAAGACAGACAGGAGTGTGATAGACCTGATATGCAATGACTATCTTTGTCCTAGGTATAATGATCACAGATTTTTAATAAAAAGGATTTAATATCTACTCCTGTTTTTGTAGTAGCTGCACCTATTGGATTATTACTAAATAGTAAAGACCAGTGAATAGTATAGAGAAAAGGAGAGAAGAGGAAAAAAAGAAAATATAAAGATCAAAAAGTAGAATCAATAAGCAACGAAGATCAAAAGCGCCAAAGGAAAATGAAAACATAGAAACATTTGGTGATTTGTTCCTATTACCTATGTATGCGTCTATTATTTTGTCTTATAAATTACTTACTTAGAGATCATGTCATGTGATTAAAAATATTGCCCAAATTTGTTTTTTCACCAAATGTATAAATTCTGGCAAATAATTAGTGAAAAAAGAAGCTACCAACATGGAAATTGGGATCAGAAACAGTACATCTGTCAAAAGTGTCTTGAAAGTTGAACTTTTTTAATTGAATGACATGATTTGCAAATGAGTAAAATTACGGATAATAATCAACACATGCACCAGTTACTAGACAACTTTCCATGGAAAGTAAGTAGAAGCTGCCAACAAGAAAATGGATCAAATAATAGAAAATCTTATGAAAAAGAATACAGAGAAACTATATAAGCAGACCTGATATTAATTATATGTATACACCCTCAAGTAAAAAACAATAGTAACAGCATACATAATTGTTTGGTCAATCAGATTCCATTACTCAGAGAGGTTGAGTACATAGCATGTTACTATGTAACTGGAAGCTACAAAAATAAAGACTATGGATATTGCATGAGAACAAAGTACTACAGAGACTTGGCTTATGCTGTTTCTTTCCTTCCTTACTACTGGAGAGCCATGCAGGTTTCCACCATTCTCCTTTCTTTATAACTTCCTAGCCACTATGAGAAACAATGAGACCTCATGGTTTTTATTATGACTTTAAGTGCTTTTATATTAATCAGTGTGAGTTGGTTAACAATATCAGCTTATAAACTGCAGTGTGCTAGACGGTGGCTGGACGAAGGGAATAAAAGTCACCTTGTAAACCTCGGAAAATATGTGTCAGCAATGTTGGCAGCAGGGGCAAAAGTGGCATATGAAAGAGAGACAAGCTTGGGATGGCTTTGCCTAGTTGTTGTCATTTCAAGTTCTGCAACAGTGTACCAACTGTATTGGGACTTTGTGAAGGATTGGGGTTTGCTCCAACCCCATTCTAAGAACCCTTGGTTAAGGAATGAACTTATGCTACCCCAAAAGTTCATTTACTACTTCTCCATGGTATATAATTTCTCATGTCATCAAACATGGATAAAACTAATGGTTAAAATGTAGGAACAGGAGTAGATCCAACCGAATTTATATGTTGCGAAGTGTAAAATTGTTGCTTTGAATAACAAAAAGTATGGAGATCAAATAAATATTTCGATTTCATTTTGCAGGGATTAAACCTTATTCTAAGGTTAGCATGGTTGCAAACGGTATTGCATTACAAATTTGGGAGTGTAGATTATAGGGTAACAGGGCTATTTTTAGCTGCCCTAGAAGTCATCAGGAGAGGGCATTGGAATTTCTATAGGTATCAAAGAGCTTTAATTTCTTGATAACTACTTGTCATTAGTCCCCCTTAATTTAAATTATCTTAACCTACAGTATATGTCATTTTTCTTGGGAATATAATAGGCTGGAAAACGAGCATCTTAACAATGCTGGCAAGTTTAGAGCAATCAAGACAGTCCCACTTCCTTTTCATAATATAGATGAAGAAGAATGATCCCTTGATTGTGAAGGGTCTACCGGCAAGTTCAAGAAATTCGCGATGGATGGTTTCTTTAGTACTATTTATTTAGAATTGAGGGTATCAATTTCCTTCTTTAAATGGAGGAGGTGGTGGTGGAGTGGTGGTTTTGTCATTGAACAAGTTGTAGGAGAAAGATGTTTCAACTTGCCCTAATTTTGCCTTATTAAGATTATAGTGAAGTATTCACATCTTTGTGTATAGATCATTCTTCCTCATGATATGTTGAATAAAATTCAACTTTAAGTTATCTCAATCTTGATTTGTGGTTTTGTTTGGTAGTTCACTAATAAGAGAAGCTGATAAATTTAAATTGATTAATGTTTATTACATTCTAATATAATCTGTTATAGTTTGTCTACATAGTGAGATTTCATAGCGACGAATAGGGTTTTATTGACAATACTAAAGTGCGTGAATAGAAAAAATAATGAGCTACTTATGTCATAAAATATAAAGAATTGCATATGACCAAAAAAGTTAAAGGTTAGTGCACAGAATTCAATCCTGAAATTTTAAGTTCAGCAGGCCTATGTTAGTAATCTTACTTGTAAAACTTAATAGTTAATGATATTCTACTAGGACATAAAGCTCCCCATATAAGCTGCCCTTGTTGAAAAGTGAAGGCATGCCCATTCACATTGGAGTTTGGAGCTGCAAATATATATACATACACTAAAGGTTACAGATGAGAACAATTCCCAGGAGTCAAATTCCAATTCTTCCAATAACTAAAGGTTTATACCAAGTCATTCAGTTCTACAACTGCATGAGTTCCAGAAACGCACACATCTTCTTGAAATGGAATTGTCTTCCACACTTTCATTGATTTACTACCTTCACCTTTTTTGGTGCAAATGGCAGCATAATGAGAACCATCTAACTCAATAAGCTCAAACTGCCAATAACTCATTATTTTCTGAAAATGGTCCTGTTGATCCAATGCTGTTTCAAGAGCCCTGTAATCAGAATTCAAAGAGAGAAGAGAGCTTCTTTCGGAGGAGCGCCTAAACCGAAGAGTAAATGTCTTGAAAGGGGATCCTGAGAACCCGACACCCAGTGCTTTGACATATGCCTCCTTCATGGTCCATAGCTTTATAAATTCCTGGCGTTGAGCTTCGGAATCCTTTATAGAACTTAAAAATTCGAATTCGGGCCCTGATAAGTATCGCTGAGCTAAGCTTAAAACATTGTTTCTCACCGCCCTCAGCTTTCCTTCTACATCAATACCGATCGGAGAACCACCCGTTACACCACAAGCTACAAGAGAATTGGTATGTGACACATTGAAATGCAATGGGGGTGACTTCCAGTGATCACTGTGCTGCCATTCTACTTCAGGCTTCCCATATTTGTTCTTTCTAAATTTCAGAAATCTTGGATCAACAGCAGAACTGATCTGATATCGGGCAATGGTTGTTCGGGCCAATGCTCGAGAAAGCAGTGCAGTCTTCTTGTGCTCATCTCCAGCCATTCGAAGCACATTTTCCTTCTCAGCTGGTGACAAAATCTCCATGTATTTTTCTAACAGTGCCTGGCTCTTCACTTCATAGGGTTTTACATACCATAAATGTGTTTCATTTGGAGATGGGAGTTGAATGGGAGTCAAATGCGGTGAAGAAGTGAATAGATTCCGAGAAAAGCTGGACTGCATCCTCATTTGGGACTAAACCCTTCCACGGCGAAAAGGCATGAAATCAAATCAAAATTGAACCTTTTCACCTTTCATTGAGGAAAATATAACAGATTCGGCCATTCGTCTCCAAGGTCCCACGTCGGCAAGATGGCAAGTCCGTATATCCCAGGCGTCGGCTCAAGTTGATCGAGGTCTTCTTCTAGAGTTCTATGATTCTTTCTGGAGCTTCTAGAGTTCTTAAATTAATGTTCGGAATTGGATCGTGAATAGATGGATATGAAGATCGATTTATTCGTAAAGATCCAAAAGAAGACTAAAATCGTGTGCAAGTTATCTAAAATTTTGTAGTTTCTCAAGCATTTTTTTGGCTGGTGTAGTTTCTTAAGTTTTGTATTTTCTTAAATTTCAATATATTTTATTTAATTAAATTTTAACCCCTGAATGCCAATGCTAAGTTCTCAAATCCATTTTCCGCCCCCAAAAACTTCCATACTTTCACTTCTCAAATCCTTATGATTTAGTGAAAATTCTTTTTTATGTAGATTCTTATGAATTTAAATTCTAAATCGGAGTTGATTCTCATTGAATTGGGGATGTGGAATGTTGTCATTCGCCTCCTTTGAATTTATCTAAGAATCTTCTTATTACATAAGGCTTGCATTTGCAATGTGAATCTAGCGGCCGTCTCATATATAAGGTAATGCCAATTTCCCAGGTTTGTCAGTTTGGACAGTAGTAGATCTAGGATGGGCATCCCGAACAATGTTTGGGTCTGATTTCGTGGAGGAAAGGTCCTCCTGATTTGGCAACTTGATGACTGTGGGGAGGAGGTGACCTATAAGGAAAGGTCAGGTGCTTCTGCCAGTTTATTTCGTGAGGGATGTTCTAATTCTCTACTTCTTGTTCATTCTTGATTTGCCTATATGTTTGTTGATCAAATTACTTATTTGCTCACAATATTGTTCCTATTGTACTTTGTAATTGTAAATTGGATACATGGTCATAGTACATCTTCTTATAGTGTGGTTGTCGTTTGTATTTTGCCAAATTACATTCCATTCACTCCAAAAAAAACAAGAAATGGTAATTGTTGTACAAAATAGAAGACATGTTTATACAAGGTCTAGGAAAAAGTAAAGTTGATTAGGAGTAATATATCATGTGATTTCTTGCCCATAAACTTGATGCACTTTCATGCAACAATTGACGGGACTGACCAGGCAGTGGTAAAACTTGTTGCATTTTTAGTGCTTCCTTTCTTATGTGAACCTACTCATGTGTAGTGCCCATTCCGTAAATAGGAATTAGTAGTGTTTTCCTTGTGATATGGTATTACGTTACATGATATTAAAAATGAACATTGAATTCTTATTACATTCTGCTACGTAAATGTTAAGGCACCCGCTAATAAATTAGGGTGTTCTAGAACCTATGTTATTACATTTTACTACCTATTATGCAATCGGTTGTTTTATGTAACCATTTCATTATTTTATACATTTGAATGAATAACTAATTTAGTAGGCTAATTGATCAATGTAACAACGTTGCCAAGATATAATATTTCAAAGGTACCATATCATATCATTGTATAAATGTCACTTTGCCACAGATTTTGAAAAACTTTGAGGATCTTCCAACTTTTTTCTTGGAAGTTGCCAAAAGACATATTGTAACACCTTCTAGGAAGGTGTTATCCAATATTGAGTTACTTCTACATTCCTCTTCATGAAAGTTGCTTGAAGATAGTTAGGAACTTCTATAGTCATGAGAATGGAAGATGGGATGCAACTTCCTCTTGTCTCCCATTTACACCTCTATACCTCATTAGCATCACATCACAAAGTGAGAAAGGTGTGTAGAGTGATATACATTTAGAGAATGAATGTACTCCGTATTAATGAGAATTGATTTTTGGTAATAGTTAAGTTGAGTGTGGAAATTTGTTTCTTCTATTGTAATTCTGTTTTTTATATCACTACAAAAAAACACTCGTTTAGTCACGGACCGTAGTCACGGATTTGGTCCGTGACTAGCCTAGTCACGGACTAGTCACGGACTAGTCACGAAAATTTAAAAAAAAAAGTAGTCACGGATTTGACCGTGACTACAGCCGTGACTACACGTAGTCACGGATTTTTTCCTGTGGCTAACATCCTCCGATTGCCCGTTTGATTTTCCGGCCTGCCTTGTTTTTCTCCGGCGACATAGTCACGGCCACATCCGTGACTACGGCCGTGACTAAATTTAAAAATTAATTTTGCATCCCCCATAAATCAATCCGCAACGGTAATATGTACGGATAAATTTAGTCACGGACATGGCCGTGACTATGTCCGTGACTACTTTGATTTACACGTCATTAACACGGATCGGACGCGTAATGGACACGGTATTACTTAGTGACGGACAAATCCGTGACTAAGTCCGTGACTAAATTTTGTATATATGCAGGAGCAGTTCATTCAACAAAACCACACCAATTCATTCCCAGTATATACAGTATCTGTTTGAAAGATCGAAAGATGTAGTCTGTCTTCTATCATTTTCCCCATTTATGCAGTTAAGGTATGTTATTTGAATTATTATTTTTATTTAGAATTAGTTGGTTCAATTTAAATTATTAAAACTATTAAATTAGTGATGTTGTTAATTAATTAACAACATATTCAACTGTAAGCGTAGTAATGTCATAAAATTAGTTAAACTGTTAGGTTTATAAAATAATTTAATTAAAATTAGTTAGCTAAACGTAGTTTTAAACGTAGTGATCTTTATGTTAAGTGGAATTAGTTAGTTAAATGTACGTTAGTAATGTGTTAATTAAGTGTATTGTGAATTGTTATTGTAATTGTGTATTATTTATTAATTCAAATGACCTTATATACATGTTCAAATTATTGGGTTTAATTTGGTCATATTATTTAATTTAGTGAATTGGAATTGTTAATTGTGTAGTACTAATAACATTAAATGTCATTAACGTAATAATTTAGTGTAGGTTTAAATGTAGGTTTACAAAAATAATTTAATTAAAATTCGTTAGCTAAACGTAGGTTTAAACGTAGCTAGTGATGTGTTAATTATGTTATATTAGTTAGCTAAACGTAGGTTTAAACGTAGTGATGCATTAAAAGAGGACGGAATGAACTAGTTAAATTTAGTTAAATTTAACTAAATGAATTAGTTAAATTTAGTTAAACGTATGTTTAATTTAAATGTAGTGTTAATAAATTACTTAAATTTTTTGTAATATTAGTTAAATTTAAGTATTAGGTAATTACTTATATTTTGTGAATTATTGTTGTGAATTGTGTGCATTTCATTTAATTTAGTGAAAATTAGTTAGTTGATTATTTAGTGAAATAACTCAACTAAAATCTGTTAGTATTATTGTTAGTATTTGAACGTGTATACTTTTTTATTATAATATTCAGGCATAATGTATAAACAAAATAGAAGTTGGATGTATGATAAAGATGCGGTATTGTACGGAATGCAATCAAATTTTCTCGAGGGAGTTGGGGAATTTATTGAATTTGCACTTGAACATCCGGCTTATATGAGTGGTGATAAAATAAGATGTCCATGTTCAAAGTGTAAAAATCTCAAATTTAAAGACCCACACGAAGTTGGGTATGATTTGTACGCGGTCGGTTTTGTTCCCAATTATTATAATTGGACTTCTCACGGCGAACCTTTGGATCCATCTGTTATACCACAAACGGTAGGTTCGTCTCGTTACGTCCCTCCAGAGATGAGTGCGTGGGGAGACCGTGCTGAAATGAGGTGGGACCAACAAATGGTATATGACGCATACGGTGTACCGATGTCTCAGTTCAACCCCCCACAACCACCTAACGACCCCCCTGAAGCCTCAACCTCGTATCAACCAGATGCGGATGAAAATCCGACATTTTATCAACCTTATGTGGATGAAGGTTTGGCTGAGAGATTTCAGGATGTTCTAAAAGCTGCCGACCAACCTCTGTATGCTGATTGTGAGGGATACTCTCAGCTATCCGCCGTTACCGAATTCATGAACATAAAAGCCGAATACAGTCTCCCTGAAACTTGCATGAATAGAGTCTTGCAGTCAGTAGGAGGGATGCTACCGCGAGATCATACCCTTCCGGATTCATATTACCACATGAAGCAGTTAATGTCTAAGTTGGGGCTACCTTGTGTTGAAATTGATGCGTGCCCGGAAGGATGTATGTTGTTCTGGAAGGAGGATGAGGCACTTGAGTTCTGCAAGTTCTGTGGTGGAGACAGATACAAACCTATTCGTCAAGGTAAAAAGAAACCACGACATAGGTCTGCACTGTCTAAACTGTATTACCTCCCAATAGCTCCTCGACTGCAGAGGATGTACGCTTCGACTGCTACTGCGAAACACATGACATGGCAGTATAATATGATTGACGTCAACCAGTCTCGTGTGTACCCGAAAAATGAGCCTTTCATACTCGCCCAACAAGCAGCGCAGATTTATTATGCAGAATATCCTTCAACAAGGCGGACACAGAATCCTTGGGTGTGTGCATGTCCTGTCCGTCCGAACAAAATAAAATCACAAACTCAACACAAGGACGTTGATCTAGATGCTTTTCAGCAACAATTTTTCCAACCTCCGCCTATTGTTGAGACGGTCAACTATGACATCCAATTAAGTGATCCAAATGGCGGACGTGTTGAAGTCATGCCAGAAACGCACCTTCCGGACCCAACCATTCCATCTGAGCGCGAAATTGAGGAAATGTATGTAGCACAACAAAACGCTCAATATCAGGAAGAAGGTGAATGGATAGACGGTTCAGATACAGAAGAAGATACTGTATATGTAGAAAATGACGATTCTGATAGCGAATAATTTTGGTGTTGTAATTTCAATTTTATTGACTTCTAATATTTGTGCTCTTTTCTTCATCATCACATTCTAATATTTGTTGTGATTTTGTTGTTGTAATTTCAATTTCAATTCTGATAGCGTGTTCCGGCTCACGCGCCGTGCGTGGGATGAAAACGTAATGATGACAGTTCCTCGGAACCTTTGGGCTTACGTGTTGGGTCTGAAGGTTGAAGGAATAAACCTCAACAATGAACAAAAAATTGCTATATAATAATTCAACAACAACAAGTTTGTTATATCCATGTTATAAATTCAAAATATAACTTTTAACAATTTGAAGTTTAAAAATTAAAATTTCCACAATACAAAATTTAAAATTACTCCATATTATATCCATGTAACAAAAATTAATTTTAATTTTTCTATAATTAATTCGAAAATTACTCCATATTATATCCATTCGAAAACTAATTTTAATATTTTTTTATAATTCTAAATTCGAAAATTAATTTTAATAATTCTAAGTATATTAAATTAACTAAATTCGAAAATTAAAAAAAAGTAATTTACTTTTACTAATATGAATATTATAATAAATTTAAATATTAATAAACAACTAACACAGATTTATTTATCAAATTTAAAAGATAAGTACAAAACACACAATTTATTTATCACATTAACCTAATTAACATTATTCATTCCTCAATCGGAAACTTTCAAGAGGCCTAGCCCACAACTCTTGAATTTTCCTTCGAGCTTCTTCGTTGATCGGGTCCATATACTCTGAACATTCTTGTGCACGTTGAAGCATCCGACACAAGTTTTTTGCTCTTGACTTGCCGAATGAGTCGGATTCCTCATCTTTATAATCGCCAAAACTTTCAAGGGGTCTAGACATCAACTCCTTGATTCTCTCGTATGCTTCAACGGTTTTCGGCTCCATAAGCTCTGTAATTAGCTTAAGTCGTTTCATACCTCTACACATGGAATCCCAGTCAATTGGATCTCGATTAGCCATTTTTCTCCACACCATTCTTGGGCCGGAGAAGGATGATTTATACCGAAAAAATGACGTTGTCACGGTCTTAGTCACGGACTTAACCGTGACTAAACTGTCGTTACTGCAACGATCCAGACTGAATAAATTCAAATTTTGAATTTAGTCACGGTCGTAGTCACGGATTTGACCGTGACTACGCCGGTCAAAGGCGGCCCGCCACAGGTCATCGCCGTCACCGCGCAACCGTCGCTTCCAACAACGTCGGCCTCCGCCTTCCGCCGACTTCCGCAGCCTTCAAGGTTATGTTTTCAACTCCTATTTTTTCGTATTTCAATAATTAATTATAAATTACTTTAATTTTTTAAAAAATGCAAGTTGAATACTCAAACTAGTTGAATCTATTTTTAAATAATGAATGTTACATTGTTAAATAATTCGGATCTGTTTTTAAATGATGCATGTTAAATTAATTACTCTCTCTTTAATAATGCATGTTAAATTTTTAAATAATTCGGAATTTTTTTATATATCCAAATGTATGATGTATATACTCAAATGCATACTTTAACTGCTCAATTAGTTGAATCATGCATGCTCTACTTGTTATATGTAATTTTTTTTATTCGAATGCGGATGTATGCTCTTTTTACTTCAGACTTATTTTGCTCTATTTGTTTAATTTTGTTACATGTAATTATTAGGGATTATAATTAGTATATGTTTGGACTTATTTCTTGAATAATGCATGCTCTTAAGTCCTACTACGTTTTATCTAACAAAATTATTCCCTCAAATTATTTAAAAAAAATTCACCCCTTCATGTTAAACTTGCAAAAAGTTTAACATGTTTGAAATACTGAACAAACTATTTCGAATAATAAAAAAACTGTTATCGAAATTGACATATAAATATTAAAATATTTTTCAAAATATTAAACTGTGTTTCAAAATTAACAGTCAAATATTAAAGTGTTTTTCGAAATAAATTTATAAACTGTTTTGAATAATTAAGTAAAACAAAAAAATTAGACTGATTATTAACTTATATTACCCAAACTAAAAAGTATAAAAACTGATTTTTATAACACTGTTTTTATACCAAAATCTATAAAACCGATTTTTCAAAAAAAAATTGACTATTAAGCTGATTTTTATAACAAACTAAAAAATTATAAAACTGTTAATAAGTATAAAACAGGTTTTTATAAAACTCCTTATAAAAAACTGTTTTTATAAAACTGTTTTTATAAAACTGTTTTTATAAAACTGTTTTATATATAATTGTTTTTATATAAAACTATATTTTATATCAAACTGTTTTTATATAAAACTGTTTTTATATAAAACTGTTTTTATAAAACTCTTTTATATAAAACTGTTTTTTATATAAAACCGTTTATATAAAACTGTTTTTATATAAAACTGTTTTTATATAAAACTGTTGTTATAAAACTGTTTTTATAAAACTGTTTATATATAACTGTTTTATATATAACTGTTTTTATATAAAACTTTATTTTATATAAAACTGTTTTTATATAAAACTGTTTTTATATAAAACTGTTTTTATAAAACTCTTTTAAATAAAACTGTTTTTTATATAAAACTGTTTTTTATAACACTGTTTTTATATAAAACTGTTTTTGATAAGTCGAACTTTTTTTTATTGTAGTAAAATGATTTTTATAATTTCCTTATATAAAGTATATATGTCCCCTCATGTAAACTTGCAAAAGTTTAACATGTTACCTTAAAGGCTAAGAAAAATGTATTGTATCAAAGTTATAAAAAATTATTTTAAAATATATCGACCCCGCATATTAGACTTATACACAGTTTAATGTGTTACCTTAAAGAATAATCAATTCAAAAATGTATTTATCAAAGTTACAAAAAAATCTTATCTTCTATTATAATTACACTAACATTTAAAAATATAAATTAATATATTTTAGATGAGCAATGAACAATCAACCTCGCGTACCCGCCCAAACTATGTGCCCTTAACCGAAGCTGAGCGCAACAATGAAAATGCGCTTTGGGTGACGCCCCACATGGTTGCGAAGTAAGTAACTATGAATTTTATCTAACGTGAAATAATTTTTTCAATGTATCATAATGTAATCAAAACTTTAATAAATAAATAATATTAATTTTCTGAAGCGATCAAGAAGTGTTGGACCAAATAAAAGTCATAATTGGAGGACACTTTCTTGGAAACTGGGCTACATACACAGAAGTAGACCCCAAGGTTCGTGAACTTTGGTGGAACCTTTTCAAGGTAAGAAAAATGAATTTTCTCTGCGTAATTGTATTAACGTAACATTTGATAAAAGATAAATTAATTTATTTGTTTTTTTTATAAAGGGTCGGTTTCGATGGACTGAAGCCCAAGGTCCAGCTATTCTTAGAGCGTATAATGCTAGGATTTCAAATTGGCTTCGTCCTACTTTTAGGCGTGCCCGAACGAGCGGGGTAAAGCCTGGATGGTGTTCGGATGAGGTGTGGGCTAACCTCGTCCGTCACTGGTCTTCTGATCCAAACTTCTTGGCAAGAAGTCAATCCGGTAAGAAAAACCGGATGTCCGAGAAAGCCTTAGAAACCCAATGGCATGGGGGCCGCAAACCTCAGAGTAGACATAAAGAAGATCTTGTAAGTATTTTTCAAAAAACTTCACACAATTACAACCCTTTATTTTAACAATTAATTATGGATCTTAAGCCTTTTTTCCAAATTGTAGTCGGGGCCTGAGAAGAAGAAGGTCTCAATTCTCAAGGTCATCAAGCACTGCTGGACAAAGCACGGCGATGAGTCCGATGCCGATCTGCCACCCCGCCTCGCTGAAATCGAAGTAAGTAACACTATTTTGTTACTTATTTCCATTCAAAATCAAATTGAGTAACATTAAATTAACAATTTTTGTACATGTAGTCAAAGTATAACACAAATGTTGAGAAGAGGCGGGCAGAATTAGGCTTGACTCAGGAGGATGAGATTGATTCTGATGTGGAGGATGATGCCATCTTTGAGGCAGTTGGGGTGTACAAGGGCCGGGTCCCGTGCATGGGGGCTGAGGGGCAACGGATCTTGTATGACCGCAGCGGTGCTTCATCTTCCCGATCAAGGCGCGGAGAGGATCCGCGTATCGCTCAAATGCAGCGGGAGATGGAGGAGCAGCAGCGGGCCTTGGCTGAGCAGCAGCGCACCTTGGAGGAGCAACGCAAAAAAGAAGAAGAAACAAGGGCCCGACTGGAAGAGATGGAACGGATCCTCAGCGCCGGAATTCGGAATCAGCCTCAGCCTCAGCCATATGTACTGCACCCTGAGCAGACACCTCAAGTTCCGCACATGGGCGGTTATTTCCGTACCAACTCTGCTACCGGGTTGCCTTCATTTGGTTCTTTTCAGGATATCAATTTTCACAACCTGTTTCAAACATCTGGAGGCAGCCAAGCGGGTGGCAGTCGCGGAGGTGGCAGTCGCGGAGGTGGCAGTCGCGGAGGAGGCAGTCGCGGTGACAACCGAGAAGATGAGACCGAAGAAGATTATCTATATGATGATTCTAGATATTATCATAATGGTAACCGGAGGAGCTTGTAATTATACATTTTTATTTGAACATTGTTTATTTACTATAATTTTATTGTGCTTATTATTACTTTTATTTCAGTCTGTTTGGTTATGAAATGTGTGTTCTAGTAGTCTGTTTATTACTTTTATTCTACAAATATTTTTTAAAATAAACTTTTCTAAAAAATAATTAAAAAAATTTTTATTTTTTTATAAAACAAAAAAACTTTTTTTTTAAAAATAAAAAACTTTAGTCACGGATCCGAGCCGTGACTAAATTCTAGACCGATTTTTAAAAAAGTTATTTTGCAAATTTAATTTTTTTTAAAAAAATAAAAAAGTAGTCACGGATCAAGTCCGTGACTAAAATTTGAAATTTGAAAATTTAAACAGTAACATTTGGCGGTTAATTTTTTTAAATTTGAAAATTTAGTCACGGATTAGTCCGTGACTATATTTAGTCACGGCAAAGGCCGTGACTAAGTCGCCGGTGTGGTTATTCCGGTGACAAGTTAGTCACGGAAACGGTCCGTGACTAAGCCGTGACTACTCTAAATCACGGATAAAATGACCGTGACTAGAATTAGTCACGCCCAAACAGTCACGGATTTAGTCACGGACAAAGTCCGTGACTAGCAAACTTAGTCACGGATTTTTTATACTGCGGTCCGTGACTAAATCCGTGACTAACTCCGTGTTTTTTTGTAGTGTATTGAATTGACGAAATTTCCAATCCCACCAAAAACATGTATGTCAAAGACTTTACATATCTTCTAATTCTAATCAAAGTTATTACTGTATAAGGCTTCAAGCTTTATTGAGTTCAAAAATGTATTGGTTGGAAAATAGGTATACAATAAGTGAATAAGCTTTATATAAGAAGAATATTGCGCTATTTGCATACATATATACTAAGTACGTAGTTCATAGCGTCACAAAAAGGAATATAATATATATATATATATAAATACAAGAATATCAATCATTTATAAACTATATTGCAAGTATATAATTAATCCAAGTGCACGCTCCCTGTAAATGAAAAAAGAACTTGTATTTTTATGGCTAGGTTACGTCATAATTGCGAATAATATTGTCATGGCCACACCAACATTGGTCCACATTCTTGATCTTCCACGCTCCATAATCGATACTCCATCATTCTGTGATCAAATTCGTGAAATTAATATCAATTCACATTGAAATTTAGAACTAATGTTTTAATAATGATTTAATATACTATGAGTAATAATTAGTTTACAAATATTGATGTATGTACATATTAATTAGTTCTACTGTGGGTATACGTAGAAGACTATGATAACTTTTATTAACGTTTTTTCCATTTTACAGTTTATCTTTATATCTAAAAACCTTATAATTGTGAATAAGGGTTGATACCCCTTATTTATGTCAACACATTGTATGCACAATGAATTGTACATTGCTCTTAAAAAGTGGGACTTAACTTCTCACATGGACATATATAGCCTTAACTTCGTATCTCAACTTATCTTCCGTTAACTAGCTTCAATTTCAATTTCCTTCAAACTTAATTATTATACTCCGTATTAGGAAACGGAAATAACTAGTATTCTATTCAAGATTAATTAATTATACTGCGTATTACATAAACATCCACTGCTGCAATGTAATGATTAGAGTAGTCTATTTGTATTCATTTCAAAATTAATTAGGTATATTACATATATATGCTCTATTAAAGTAAACTTTACAGAATATTTCTAATTTTTAAATCTCACACACCTCATCCTCATTTAAAGAAGTTACGCAATATTACTATCCATTGGTAACATTTTGTCAAATTTCAGTTTTTTAAATTTTAAATATTTTATAGCATTTTAAAATTTGTCACGTTTAAGAGTTTTTTAAATCTCAAATTCATCATTTTCCACAAAAAAAATCTCAATTCCATCAATGTTGTACGCGAGATATTAATTACTTAAGTATTGAGCATGACTATCGCGCCTTGCGCGAACAAATGCTAGTCATTATTGATCATAATCGGGATCATAATCCCTCTCCTCACCTTAAGGTGTTTTTACATGTTACATACATATTTTAAGTGTAGTAAACGGTGTAGAAAAACTTAAATAATTATAACTAAATTAGACACAAAATAAAAGATGAGGATATTTATTCTTTTAGAGACCAAATATATGAAAAAAATAAAGTGAAGCAAGTAATAGGCTCTTCCTCCCACTAAAAGTTGAGTGATAAACATAGTGATGACAATATTATAAATAATGTTACTCGAATCAATTCATTGTTGACAACATTTATTACTTCGTAATATAATATTCAAAACTTAGATATGTATTTAAAAAATATTTCCACGACCAAAAAATTAGGATTTGTATATTAACAATGTTACTCAGATTAATTAGGATAACTAAAAAGATATATAAAATAGTAACTTAGAGTTTTTTTTTTAAAAAACAGAACTAAAAGATACGTACAAATTATATGCTCAATCGAGTAATAAAGAATTTGAACTGAAATATTCATGTTTGATTTGGGGAGGTTTTATTTCAGTTTTGAAATGAAAATTAATCATCGTTGTTTTATTTCTAAAATACAGCTCATTCATTTTTAATTAAGTTCAATAATTTAAATAAGATCAAATAACTCTTATGCATAAAACATACGAAGTACTACATACATAGATTTATGCACACTTTGGTGTTGTTTGGTTTTCAGCGGATCGGCACCATCCCGCTGCTTTTAGCAGCGTTTTCATGTATAAAAGAATCAGCGGATTGATGCTCCCGCTGCTTATCCAAACGGACCCTTTATGTCATAGTAGTAAGTACTTTTATCCCGTTCTTAAATAAATGTATCAGTGAAATTTTTCTCTATTAGTAAGAAAATTTTAAAATATTATTTTAAAATGGCACAAATTTAACATTATTTTTAATAAATAACTTATTAATACATAATATGTAAAATTTAGCATGTTGCACTTAATTAATGATAGATGAAGTATATTGTAATCGTAATTGAGGTTAATAATAAGAAATTCAACTTCCATTAGTTTGCAAAAAAAAACTTCCAGTTCAAAGAAGAAGTGATCAAATAAAAGCGAGATTATTTATAAATAGGGGTACAAATGAGTCAAGCCGCTCGCAAGCACCTCATGAGCCCCCTCGGTCAAAACTCAACTCGAGTTTGGTCAAATTCCTTTGAGCTTAAGCTTGTGAGCCAGCTCAAGAGCCATATCATAAATATATTTATTTGTATATATATTTTATTGATTTATTTATTAATATTTATTTATTTGTGTATTTTAAAATTTAGTTGATAGTAAAATAAGGAGTAAAAATTTGAGTGAATGGGAGAAACTAAAAAATGAGAACGGCTAAGTACAAATATAATATACTCCCTCCGTCCCGCAAAGAAGTTCATAGTTTGACCTACACACATATTTATGTAAGATAAAGTTTTGTTTTGACTTTCCAAGTATACGCTTACTATATGTCAAATCAAGCAAAAAGTGGGTAAAAAGTAATGGTAGCTTTGACTTTTTGGTTAAAAGTGGTTTCCTTTTATAGAAATGAGAATTTTTTTTTGGGACATCCATAAAAGGAAAGTGGGAACTTCTTTGCGGGACGGAGGTAGTAGATACTACGTACTGCAATACTACGTACTAGTATTACACAACATGTAGTATTTATCGCTAATACTCCGTTATGAATAAATTTTAATAATTTGAAAAAATGGAAATTTTATTTTTAGCTCGAATTCGAACTCAAGTTCGATCATATTATTGGAATTCAAACCTACAATAATGAATTATCAAAGTTGACCCGAGGTAGAACTGAACTCGATTGAGTTGAGCTCGAGCCAAACTCGGCTCAATTCAAACTCGATTTAGGGGTACTATGTTTAAAACTGATTCTGAAGCAGAATAAATATCAGTTTTCAGAAGCTGGTCACCCCCACCTTCTAAAAAACTAATACTAGGAGTAAATTTGAGCACCAGAATCACTTCTGCACTTTCGCCCAAACATTTCAGCTTCTACTTGTGCTCTAGGAGCAAAAGCACTTTTAGAATCACCTCCTTATTTAGATTGTCCAAGCTCGAGTTCAAGTTGCTTAATTCTTATCAAACTCGAGCTGGAGCATACCCATGCTCGACTCGGAACGGCTCATTTGCGTCCCCATTTATAAATATATGAAACGCTTAAATATAATGTTATGTATGTTACCAAATCAGAAGCAGGGGATGGAGCTGGGGTTACATTGGCGGAATCATCCACCGCTGGTGGTGGTGGGCTCTTCACCACCGGTGCTGGTGGTGGAGCGTGGTGATGTTTGTGCTTATGCTTCCACTTCTTTCTCTTGTGCTTTGCATGAGCCGGTGCAGGTGCCGGAGCTGATTTTGGTGTAGCGGCAGGGGGCAGAGCAACCGGTGCCTGTGCAGGAGCCAGCGATGGCTTGGGCGGTGGCACCGCCGGCGCAGGTGCAGGTGGCTTGGTTACGCGGGGTGGGGCATGCGGTTTTTTTGTCGGCGCCGGTGCCGGTGGATGGGGTTTTTTCGTGGGGGGCAGAGCAGGGGATACTGCCGGCGGCAATGCAATTGGTACTTGTGGTTTTGGTGCCAATGCAGGTGGCTTTGACGGCGGCGTTGCAACATTTGGGGCCGCCGCCGGTGGTAATTGCGGTGTTGAAACTTTAGGCTTCGGTGAAGAAACAGGAGTAGCAGCTTTTGGCGGGTGCGGTGTAGGCAGAGGGGTGGTGGTTGGACGTGGAGTTGTGGTCGGCGGTTTGGCGGCGGTAGGGGTGGTGGGGGGACGTGGAGTGGTGGTCGGCGGTGTGGCGGTGGTAGGGGTGGTGGGTGCAACCACCGGTGATTGTGCATTGGCAATGGCAGTGACTAACCACCATATGCAAAAGCAAATTGAAGATGTCTGGATCCGCATTTTGGAAGGAATTTTTTTGGGAGTGGGCTGGAAATTATTCTCGAAGATATTTATAATGGATAGTAGATACCGAGATTAATTTCAGAGTTTTTGGAACTCAAGAATTTGGTCATGCGTGGGGGATCAAAAGAACTTTTATACGGAGTAGTCTCTACTCTCTAGTAGGGGTGGACGCGGTCCGGAACGGTAAATTGGTAAAACCCGTAATGTATCCGTGAGGTTTTTAACGGTCCGGTACGGTACGGTTCCAAAGATGAAACCGTTCGGTACCATGTCGCTTCGGAACGGTACAAAACGGTACGGTACAATGCCAAACACATGCTACAAATTTGGAACAAATCTTGCAATTAGTACGTAGTACTTCGTATATATCATCACACCAACCAACTCACATGAAATGTTGATATAAATACAAGAAATTGCATACGTAGTACTAAAATTCACAACTACAAAAATAGTGCAACACAACTAAAAAAAATTATAGTAAAACGATGACGCACGAGATTAATATCATCTTTAATTTACTATGTTCACAGAGCAGTTCACATCAGGATCTCCTGAAGAGAAGCCCCGTGCGGACAAGCCCATCAGAGGGTCTTCCTGGTGGAATTTTTTTTGATGAAATTTTTTGAGCATGTTCTTTATCAAGTCTAGTTTGTCCATACCTAATTTCAGCTCAAAATTAGATCGGGAAGGCAGTCAAATAAATCCTGGAAAACTATGGCTCATTCTGCGCACATATAAAGTGCAGTATGTTTCTAGGATTTATTTGACTGTCTTCCCGATCGAATTTTGAGCTGAAATTTGGTATGGACAAACTAGACTTGATGAAGAATATGCTCAAACTATTTCATCAACAAATTCCACCGGGAAGACCCTCTGATGGGTTTGTCCGCAGGGGGCTTCTCTTCAGGAGCTCCTGATAGGAACGAGACTCACTATGTTCATGTGAAAATATAAAAAAGAATATAATACTCCCTATAATAGAAATCTTCAACGTTCTTCTTCTTCGTTCTAGGTTAAATATTACTTCGTAGTTCTTTTTAATTTATAGTTGAACCTTGAGAGATAAGATTTAAACTATATTAATTAAGTTATAAAATTGCACAAACATGATACAACATCATGTACACTACATTACTAGAAATGAATAGTCATTAATGATTTTTAAAATTCTAATATTCTTTCGATCAACACATACTAAAATATAACATAAATTATCTAAAAAGAAAAAATAACAATATATATATATATATTTATATATATTTATAAACACACACATTTAGCTATTTTAGGGACGCATGAATACATACTTGGGCTATAAAATTGTTGGTGTATAAAAGAGATCTATTGGTATAGAAAATATATATATAAAATTCAAATGCATTATTTTCAAACGCTTCGGTCAGGTATTTTTCGGTTCTCAAAATCTAGGACCGGTCCCGTACCTGTTTCAAACGGTACGATTTCGGTACGGGACAAAAATCTATAGAACCGTTTAAATACCCGATATTCGGTTCGGTACCATTATGGGACAATTCGGTAGGCCAGGGGGGTTCGGGTTTTATGCCCACCCCTAGTCTGTAGGTAGAAGACAAGTAATAGGTCATGTTTTACACATTAAATCTTTGCACATGAAGTGATTGTATGCAAAGTATAGGGAAACTATCATTTTGCACAAAAAATGAATTACATTGTTTGGCTAGATATGTAATTTATTTTTAAATTGCATGCAAAGCCGTTGCAGTGCTTCATAAAAGGTATGCAAAGTATTTTACCACCTTCTACATAAAATTCTTTACATGGTGCAGTGCGAAATGTTTTAAAAAAGTGTTCCACAGTTTACATTAAATAATCAAACCAAATAGTGTAAACATTTTACGTCCTTACACTTCGCATGCAAAGTAATTATTTTACATTCTACCAAACGCCCCCTTACTAAATTTTATTAAAAGAGACTTTGCAGTATTTTACCCTGTCTTTCTTTTTCCTATAGAATTAAGAGTTGATAAGAAATTATTAGATTAGAATATGGACAATATGTATTTTTCCTAAAAATATTACTAATAAAATTGTTATGGATAAGAATGTGATTAAGAAGTTGTTCTCTTCGTCTTGATCAGAAAGATTCAGATCAGATCAGAAAAATTCAGATCAGATCACAACTTAAAAATTTCAGATCAGAAAACATTCAGATCAGGTGAAGAGAACAGCTTTTAAGTAACTTTTAGTGATTATAAATTGTGTTCAAAGTTTACATCACCATATTTTTTTACCCTAGGGGGCGTCATGGGGAGGGGGGTTTGGGGGACCTGGGGTAAACTTGGATCAATCTCACTCCACTGAGAATTGAAATCGGGACCTCCCATAAGCGAGAGTGAGTCGGCGGCCAGCTGGGCTTGACCGCTTCCTCACATCACCGTAACTACACCATAGTAACTTTGGATATAATTATTGTCACTAAAAGTTATCAAGTCACATTTTATCAACTTGTAGAGTTCTTTATCAAACACGTAACTTTTGATTTCACGCAATAAAGTATGTAATAATCAACATAAGTACATTAAGATTGGAGTTATTTTTCGGAATAACGCATTCATTGCGCATGTAGTCTTACTGAAAATTCTCGAAATAGAGTAAAAAAATTGGCAATTTCAAAATACGGTCGAACTACATAGTATATGTTCCTTCTAAATAGGAGTAGCTTATTGGATGTCATCTTGAAAATGTATAGTCATGTTTTGATATTATCGGATCTTGAAAACGTGTATAAGTGGATTTCCTAAACATTTTTACTTCTATTTAGATCAATATCTTTATAAATTATGAATTACTTCTTGTGTATTTACTATTTAGGCGTATCATTTATTTTTTATGAAATGATTAACATTATTGTAAAATAATAACTTATTCATCGAATAGTTAAAACACTTACAATACATGCATCATCACATGTATCGTTAATGACCTCATTATATTACACTTTGATCAAAACTATTTTTCAAAATATATTTGAATTATTTTGTTTAGTTATTGTCAATTTTCAATTGGAACCTTAAACCATGAAGTATTACTTTGGACGTGCCAGGCGAGGTATCAGCCAATACAACATTAAGGGTCATTGGATTTGAATTTGTAATTTGTTTAAACATTGGAAATAAATGCATGTACTGAATATGGCCATATATATGTTGCGGTCTATCAGTTGATTACAGCTGAAACTTAATATCAACAATTCTGATTTGAAGTTAGGTCTGGCCTTTCAGGAACAGCAATAATGCTTATTTCCTTTCAGCCAATGTATGTGTATCTACAATCATTTTTACTTGGCAATCCAGCAAAGGTAATATAGCACCAAGCCACCAATTCAACCAACAAGCTAGTTCAACCCATTTATTGTTACTTCCCTTTGTCTCATTAATAGAGGCGGCGTTCTAAAATACTAATTTTATTTTGAAATTTCAAAATATGTTTAATTATATTTCGAAAGCTTTCTTTAACATATGTTACACTATCATATCACAAGAAAAACAATGTTGAGAGTAAAGATTTTTACAATGTAACACGGAGTACTACCTTTGTCCCTCATTTAAAGTCCAAGTTTGACTTTCGAGTCAAACTTGTTAAACTTTGATTGTTAATTACTCAAAATTAACAATATTTTATTTAACAAAATTAATTATACATCATTTAATTTATTGTAATATGTATTATTCAAATTTCAATTTATGATAGATTATATAGCCATATATTTATAGATAATAATGGTCAAACGTCCGCCCAAGAGACCGTAAAGTCAAACTAGGACTTTAATTGTGGTAAAGAGGGAGAGTAATAAAACATAAAAAAGTTGGGAGGGGTCAAGCCTCCTTCACGTTATCAAATTTCTTGTTCTAGGGTTGTGATGTACATGATTAACCAAGACATCCGTAAAAATTAAGATACTAAGATGGAAGATGATGAAAATGGATGATGGAAAGCAATTAGAAACACATGTGTTCTATTTCACTCAAACTCTCTACTCCTATTTCATACGTTTTGTAGTAAAAAAAAAAATTGATACACTCCGTAACGTACTTATTAATACTATCTCTAAAATGTTTGTTGTATCAAGAATGGATCATATCTTTCAAACAAGGAAAGGAAAGAAAGTCATTTTTTACATACCAACATTATTAGTAAATGTTCATTTAATAACAAAGGACAAATAAATTAAACTAGTCGGGGAGAGAATTTCACCCGCCCTTCTCAAATTGGCCATTGCTATAACGAGAGCTTTGAATTTGACATTTCAACTATTCCTAGGTATGGGGTCCCTATCAAATCTAAATCTAGAGTTATGCTAGCTACTCAAAGTCAAACTCTTTCCATTTAGCGTCCTCTCATCTTTTCTTTTTTTATTTTCACAAATCTTTCTATCTATTCTTTTGATGCCTTAATTCAATGTAATACTAGTAATTCATACGAGAATTGAAGTGGGGCTATAAATTTTCAGAATTCATTAAGTTTTAATTCTTACGGTTAATCTTTGGAGTGATGATTTTATTCTATCGACTATCAAAGCCAGAAATTTTAATCTGCTTGATTGCTTAGTTGCATTAGTATTTTAATTTTGATTGCTTCGTTTGAAGCCTTGAGTAAAGGTACCTTTTTACCCATTTTTGTATACAAGATAGTTCAATTCACTACTATACAAACGTACATTTGGCAATTGGAAGCAAAGAGATGTCCGTGGATTATATTAACATTTCTGTTGATCCATGGAAACTCGATTAGCAAATTAAATTCGTCTTCTACAATGTGTTATCTACATTGAATTTGATAACATATTAATGCAAAGCAGCCAATTGAAGGTATTAAAACCCAATTGAAACCCAATTGAAGGTATTTTGATATGCATATAAAAATTTAAGTCAAAAGAGGAGCGATATGATATTCTAACATGCACAAATGCAAATTTAGGAATAATTTTTTTTAAATCCCTCTTATCTCACCAATCAGAAGTTTTAGCCTATACTTGAATTTGATCTTGAAGGCAGTAATTTAATTTCCTTTCAAAGTCTCGAAACACCAAATTGAATGTGTTAAGAACACAGGGCCAACTGTACTTTACCTG